AATTCTCAGAACCCCTAAGAGGTTTCCTTTCTTTAACATTAAGTAACAAGAAAGGAAAAAAATGTTGGCAACAACAGATGGGTCTTCCATCTTCTGGAACAGAACTTTTTCTTCTTAACTCTCAATAAACCAAGGCTAAATGCTCCTTTTAAATAGATGCTCCAGAACAAAACTGAATTGAGATGGTATCCTCATATATTCTAAGGCTAAAAAAACTAATAGTAAAAAAAAAAAGTGGTTTATTGATTTTGTGCTACCACTTTTATCTTGAAAATTATTTATGCTATCCACTGTCTGCAAAATAAATCCTGAGTTCTTACCTGTTATTCAGGTAAGAATATATGATTCGCTAAGAACATATAGTTTAGATCCAGTCTCTACTGGCTCTCTCAATGCAGGAGTATGCTATGTTGCCTCAAGTTCTTACCTTCCTGCTTTGCTGGCACCTTTGTTCACCTGAAGACCCTCCTTCCATACTGTCTTCTGCAGAGAGCTCTGTCCTACCCTCAAATTTCAGCAACTGAAATCTATGCTTGGCCCTGGCTCTCTAAGCCTTTATTTTAAAAATCTTTATGTTGCCCTCATTATTAATAGTTTGATTAGCTATAGAATTTTAGGTCCAAAATTATTTTCCTTCAAGACCTTGAAAGAAGCACACCATTATCTTCTATATATAGTACTAATCATTTTCTCATTTCTTTAATAGATAACATTTTTCCTCCCTTGAAACTTTTAGTCTTCTCTTTAATAGGATTTGAGATTTAAGGTTTAATAATTTTTGAAATTTCATGATGATGGGCCCAGGTAATGATTTGTAAAAACCATTTAACCTACTCAGTATCAGTAGGTCTTTAAGTGTGAATACTCATACACTTTTCATCTCTGGAATTTTTTATTTATTATTATTATTTCTCCCCTACATTGCTGTCCTTATGAAACTCCAATTGTTCGATGTTTTTTTTTTTTTCTTTCTGCTCACACTTTTCGTCTCTACTTTTTGTCTATTTTCTGGGATATTTTCTCAACCTTATCTTACAATGAACTACTTTTAAAGTACTATCACACTTTAAATTTTGAAAAATTAATTTTAAGAAAATTTCTTTTTCTCTGGTAGTTTATTTTGTATAGAATTTTCTGGAGGTGGAAGGGAGAATCCCTGTATAAATGCCTTTCAAATCACTTTTTTTTTTTTCATAGTGCAGCATCTTTATTCAGCTTGAGTGTTTATTTTTTATTTTTTTATTACAAAAGTTTATTTTTACATCATTTTGTACATTTTTTTTCCATCTCAAATCACTTTTTTTTTAAAGATTTATTTATTTATGTATACAGAACTGGGGTGCAGGCCAGACGTGTAGGGGCAGTGAGAGGATTCACCAGAGACAGAGTGGGCAGCAGAACAGGCCAATTGAGAACTACACTGCTGAGGGGAGCAGCGGGCAGGTCAGGAGAGGTCTGCGGAGCCATGTTGCGTCACCTCCAGGTCGGGGATCTAACTTATGCTGAAGTGGCTTTAGCCTCTTAGTGCTGTGTTTTAACCCGCTGCGCCACCAGGAAGGGCCCAATTTTTT